AAGCGCACGGAAACGAAATGGAGTTATCACAATAAAGCTGAGTTGTGTGCAAAAGTATCGACACCAGGCAGGAACAGAACCCCTGCACCTCATGCTTTCCGCACGCCATCTGTTGCTATCTCAGGCTGCAATCATGCAAATGTTACTATACCTGAATGTTCGCTTCCGCCTACCATTCAATACGCAAAAGGGGTCGCAACGCGCCACATATCTAGCCTTACGCCGACCGTACTCACATGGTTTATGTGCCTCACGCCTATGAGTAAAGCTTCTTCTATTCAGCTTCACTTCCATCACCCGGAAGACAGGTGGGGTGGCGCAGTGCTCTAAAGTGTGGAAGTAGGGTTGCTCCACATGGCGCTCCTGTGCAGTTTTGTTCGCTGAGGACGCTGGGGCATGTCAGGAGGGCTGGGTTTGACGCAACGCCAGCCACTTTACCACCCTCCAGCTATTGTGGTCGCCTACCAGCTCTCACAATTGGTGGACCAGTCACTGCCCCCCCCCCCCTCCTCCCCTTGACATGCTCCAGCGTCCGCAGCGAAGAAGACTGTGTTTATTATCACTGCAGAAATTAATTATTGGTGTAAAAAATAGATATGTATTTCATATAAGGTATTATGAACACAACCATGGCCGATCTGCCTTTCAACGTCGATGAACTGGACTCAATGAGTAAACGAGAGAAGGACGAGGCGCTGAAGAACGCCGTTCGTCTGATGGCCGAAGATCCAAAAGCGTTTCGTCGACATCGGCGCCACAAACGAACGATAAAAATTCAATACTACCGACACACTACGACACACCACTCTGGCGCCCTACGCGTTTGCTCCAACAATAAATACGGTAAGTCCTGCACTTCTCCATTTGGAGAAGTTTGAACTCAAACATATCAGGAGGAGAGACTGGGAGGATCGCTGTGGGAGCGCACACTGCCATTCCTTTGTGCGCCAATGGTGAGGATTTCCTGGGTGTCGCAGTTGGCCTGTCGTAGCTGCGGAGCACAACAGTGTCGTACGGGAAAATGTCGGTACGCTTGAAGTGGGGCTACAGCATCCGCATATAGCCCGTTAATATGCGGTCCACTCCCTCCTCCACTTTTTCAGTGCTACCCCCTCCTCCATTCCCGTATACAGAATTTTCACAATTAATTTAATCTCCCAGCTTTCCTCAAACGGGAGCGACGAGGTCACCGGTAAACTATCGCGGGCAGCTATACTCCTTATTCAGTAGTTTTGCGGAGTAGAAGATTGAAAGGAGAGGGGTATATGGCAGTCAGGCCACGTCTCGCACTGTGGAGCAATCTGCAGCCGGAGAGGTCGTAGTTGATATTGTTTCCGCTTTTGGTGGAGAGGAGGGGGCGGGGGTGCGTTTTGCTTTTGGCGAAAATCCGCACCTTGGGCGCAAAAATTTCTTCTGTTCGCTTGAATTTGCACGTTTTTCCCGTTTCCACATGTGCCTAATGGAGAAGGAGGGTGCTATCAGAGGACGAGAATTAAGGGAGGGCGGTCATATTTTTCAACTCTTTCCCCAATGGCAGAACGTCCACTGCGCACGTGTGATGGGGAGGGGAGGGTTATATAGCGCACGTCAACCGGGAACAATTGCAAAAAGCCTGTAACCGCAACAAAGTATTTCTTGCGCGCCCGTAAAATTTCTCGCAAAGTCATTATGACCCCAACCAGCTAATACGGCCTCTTCCTCCCTAACGACCCAATACGATCCTCAAGGGATCCTTCCAGTGATGCTCTGCCCTGGTACGAACTGGTACTACCGACTTTTTATCCGTTTCAGCTGAACGTACTCGGCCCAGTTACCTTGTCGCCAAGTCTGTTCTCACCTAATATACTTTCACCTCTTCTACTGAGTCCACCAGTGATTTCACCCCAGGTTTGTCTTACTCTCTCGCTGTAGAGATTACTACACTTACGGTGCGTTAACTCGCTCTCTATTCTAGGTGGCAAGTCATTGATCTTCTCGCCATGACGTGCTTGGTCCGAATACGATTTCGGCAGCTGTGTTCAACGCCTACGTGTTTTCTCCATATGTCCTCTCACCAAACGTCATCAACCCTTATGTACTGTCACCGTTGATCCTGTCGCCGTATGTGCTCTGTCCTGACGTCGTCTCACCAACAATCCTTTCTGGTGTTGTCCTTTCACCATCCGTTCTTTCGCCGTCGATTTTCACCGAATCAGCGCTTTCAATTAACGTACTCTCGCCATCAGTTCTGTCGTAACCTCAATAGCTTAGAGGAAGATCCCGAAACTGATCAAAATGACGGCATCACAAGGAGTTCAGCAGACCCATTTGTATCATAGGCGAAAGATCATAAGTAAAGGAAACAGGCGGTACAGTTCCCCAAAAAGCGCGCGTGGAATTAAATGGTAGGTTCTGTGTGAATGCACTAATTGATATACCGTAAGCCAGTTTAGTTACGTAAGCTTTTTAGCGACGGCCATTCTAATTCTGCTTTTCATCTGCAGCCAAGTTCTGCCAAGGCGAAAACTGAGTGGTACTGTGTGCACTCGACGCTGCTAGACACTCAATTCTACGTGCAGTCTGGGGCACTGTATCCCGCCCGTTTTGCAAGATCTATAATTTAGTTTCATAGAGTAGATTAGCCACCGGGACGTAAGGTCGTGTTCGCTACAGATACTGGGGCTTTTTCAATGTTGGACTTGACGCGGCGCCAGATGTTCTCCAACGTCTGTGCCAGTTACACAGTGCTGGGGAAACAGGCTGCACAGCTCCAAATAAAGGGCAGCCTTGTTTGTCGACGGGGGGGGGGGGGGCATTTGTCTATCATTGCTTCCTTAATTCCGGTCTTCATGTCTCACTCTGGCGAAACCTGTGAACTCTTGTGAAGCTGGAACAAGGTAGTCAAGCCATCATGTTAAAACCTGTCAACTCGAGAAGAGGCTGTCTAGATAGGTCGACACGTCGATGGGAAGTAGCAAAATGTAAAATGTCCCCCTCCCCGTCGACAAACTGCCCCCAAAATCAAGCCTGCCTGAAAGGTCCGCAGCGAGCAAGACTGTAGGTAGTTTGCACAGGTATTAAAAGTCCTGCAATAGCGAAAACAGATCAGATCTAGTAGTTATATCTATAGTTCCTAATATTTTTCCATCATGGAGGGTAAAAAGACTGGAAGGCGAGCAAACCCTTCAGCACTGAATTTTTCATATTTTCTCCGCGTTTTTCTGCTTCGTTACAAGATTTCTCCCTACAGTATCTAGTTTCAACTGCCTAAGAACTTTCGATCTCCAATAGAATAGATTTTTCGAATTTCAATCTTCAGTTTGTTCACTCAATAGAATAACAGCGAGTCTTCTTTTGGGGGCTAATCTAGTTCAGCCCAACGAGACGGCAACGTCCTTGCATCCCCTTCCCTTGCCATGGAGCGCAGGCGACCAAAGTGACACTGGGATAGCAGATGACAGACGGAACAAGTGAGACCAGAACAAAGCCGAAAATCGATGCTTATGGGTCTGCTACGAGCAGGAGTGACACCGAATTAGAGAAGTACGGTACGGTACATTGGGAAGACCAGAAATTCGACGGATAGTGCCAAGATTGCCCTTGCATGGTCACACGACTGCCCGGACTAGGACTCTCTATGGTCCTGTTGCGAATCCCTGTAATGCAGGCAGATAGAGTACAGTGGCCGCTAAAGCATCGGGGCACATCGTTGTTGGGGAGTCCCCAACAGGGGGAGGTCGTACTTGCCCGCCCCCCGCTCGACGACTGGATTCGATGAGGAGGGACAGAGGGCCGGAGGGGGTCGTACCCCCCCCCCCCAAAAAAAAAGGGGAGAGGTCGTACGGACTTGACGAAAATCCCCAACCAATGATGTGCAATGATGTGCCCTGTAAAGCATCGGATGGTACGACGGAACATGGATATGAGCATGATACAAGCTTTTTCTGAAGGAGGAGGGGGCTTCGGCTCGATGACCGACATATCATTCGTAAAAA